TAGGGGTATTGTAAACGAAATTATTAAGGGACGAGCAGCTTCGTATGCAGAACACGAAAAATGATGATGCCACTATTTCAAACGCTAATGTCCGTAGAATTACTAAGAATTTGGACGTCAAAAGAACGAGTCTTCGTAGTCTGTAATCACTTGAGTCCCCTTAATGGGGAACTTACTTATTCTGTTGCTGATTGGCAGAACATGTACGTATTTGCAACGCCAATTTAAATAAAAGACAGCCGTAATGCGCACTTGCATGCAAGGTCGTCAAATGTGTGAGGATTTGGGAAAGCAAAAATGACTACAAATTAAGTAAAAGAAAATTTCAATTGTTAGGGCAATAGCAAAATTAATCGGCTTGACGAAGGGAAAATTCGCTTTGAGGTATCGCATCCGCAATGCTTTTGAGAAAGCATTTTTCAGTTTCAGGCATGGCATCCAAGACTGACGCTGAAGCTGCAGAGTAAACTAGCGAAAGACCAAGACACTCAAAAGACACTCAAAAGTTTATGCTCGCAAGGGCGGGTTCGCTTAGGGACAGTCACTTCAAGCACAGGGGTTAGTCGATAATCCAGGAGAATTACACTACGATGGACATATAGATTTCTAAGTCTGAGGCTACAGTCCACCTCAAGTCGTCCTCATCCTAAATACGAACGTCTGTGGAAGGGAACATTAAGCCTTGATTCTTCAATCATGCTTGTGTCATGCTTCGATAGGGGGATTATCTCGCCTTTTACAAGCAGGCCAAATCTGGGAACGATATACAGTGCGACAGTGCGATGAAGCTAGTGTAGGCACAAAAACTAGCTGCTGCTGATGCGTTCTCTTGAGCAGGGTATTCAGGCCTATACTCGGCACCTAACCCAAATCATGATATGCTATTTTCACCCAGAATCTTAAGGCAACAGGAACCATAAAGAAACCGTGTCCGCATTTATGAACCAGACGATGCCTGGGAAAAAACGTAAAAAACTTGAAGTGGGTAATGCCTAGCCTCTACCTGTATTCAATTCAAATGGACCGCTAGATAACATGTGGAAGGTGGCAAAGAATGTAGTCATCAACAGTCGGTGTGACCACCTTCTAAATATCCGGTGATTGTTTAACCTATTGCGGTCAAACATTTTGCGCAGAAAGACGATTTTTATATTGGATCTCGGATTCGACTTAGAATGCAGCCCCTGATAGTAGCTGCTTAAATCCAATGTCATCGTGTATACGATATGCCCACTCACACTGATATCCGCGTTTACTTTGAGATTAGAAGAATGAGTAGAGCGCAGTCGCCTTTACACAAGAGCCTCGCTAAAATATTCTGAGAAGCTCTGTTCAGTGACAGTTGACAGGGCGACGCTGAAAAAAGCTTTAACTTTATTTTGATGTTCATTCAAATTGCAAGACATTTTGAAAGTACTTTTTCAAGGGCCGCCGACAAGAAGCATTTTTTGAGTTAAGTGCAGCACAACTACTTTGGAACAAATTCCTCTGGCTCCATCGTCCTACAAAATGTCCGGGAGGTACAAAATATGCGATGACATGTTAATGAGCAATCTGCAAAGGAAACAGCTTGCTGACTTATTCACAGAAGATCTGCACGACCACAAATTGTCCAACTGGCATACCGGAGCTGTGAATTTGTGGTTACAGCGTATTTTTTCCAAGGGACCTATTTTTCCCTGTCAGCTGAGGGTGCAGATTAAAGAGTAAATTGTTTATTTTGACGTAGTTGTTTGTATATGCCCTGGTGTGCATAAACTGTTGAAATTTGAAACTGTTTTTATGTTCAAAGGAAATCGCAGCAAGCCAAAAATGGGGAAACACGCAGAATTTAATAATGCCCTCTCGCTCTTGACTTGTTAAGCCGAAGACGAACGTTGGGCGACTTATTTACTAGTGATGCTACAGAGAGGACGCTGGGGCCAATCGCACGTGACAGGAGCATACACGGAGCGATTACTATTCAGATCGACTAGAGGGCTTACACCGTTAGCATTTTAATTTTGGCCAGGCAGCATGCGAGTCTGGCTTTTGCAAAGAAAGCCTTCTGATCGAAAAAGGGACTAATATACTAGGTGATAAAGAAACGAAGACAATAGAACTTCATCATTTGAGAGAGAAATCGCTGGTTGAATAGTAGTCTTTTGTCTATTCCTAGCCAGTCTGGAGGATCTTATCTTAACAAATGTACAGAGAATACCAATTATCCTGCAGAGACCCCTTACTAAACTACCAGTAGACAAAATCGGTGAAGTTATCGTTGAGCAGGCATTTGAAGCAAGCTTGAATGTAGGACATGCGAGGTAGTTACCGCAGCTGTTATTCAAAACAATATCACTTTTATCCAGTGAAAAGATTTGGTCAAGTCCCTAGGTAGATAAAAAGATCGGTATGGTATTCAGTCGCATAAAATGGCAATTTCGTAATATCTAAGACTTCAATCTACAAAAAGCGTAAGGAGGAATTATCCACTGGCGCATTACTATCGACTGTGTCCTTGCCGAGCGTAACTGGCAAACGATAAAAGCGAATAGGCGAGTTCGAGTTTATTATTTTGCTCATTCCTTAGAAAATTATATGTTTTTCCTATTTTGTACTCGAAGGTACGGTTTTCAACAATATTTACAATTCCCGAAAAATTTTGAACCCGCTTTGCCGTCACAATTGGATTCAAGGTTTCCAAACTTCAAGTCGTATATTTTCCGCGTACGACAGCCACACATTTCTCTACGGGACTAAAAAGGGACCATAATGGATTCACAAAAGTAACCAATGGATTTGATCCAAATTGTTAACTTTACAAGCCACATTAGTAAAAGCAGAGATATGACGATTTATGAACGGCCATTTCACGGTGTTCAAAAACTCCACAATTAGAAGCGCTTTTAAAACCAAATAATGACACTCCTTTAAGTATACAATTAGAAGAAGACGTAATTTTCTACCGAGTGTGCAAAAGAATGATGATTGTTATGCATGTCTCACATGAAATATAATTACTCTTTTAGGGATATTTCATGCTAAATAAGTTGCCGTTTTTTACAGGGTGTGGTTTTTGCATGCAGCCGTGGGAAGTTAAGTCAAATACCGACATCCTGATGTAAATGAAGTACTATAGAATTATATTACAGACTGAGAAGTTTTGCAACACTACTTAATTAATCTTTTCGAAATAAGAAAAGAAATTTAACAATTTTGGTTGACATTTCATACGTTAGCCCACCTTCTGTACGTATGAAACTCCTCAAAGGCGACAAGCATCAATTAATTACTTCCGTCATGGACATTCCATTGTTCGCCATCTGCATAGCTCTGTTCTGCTCTCGGGATGGAGAGTCAGGCTGCAGTGGCTCCTTCCTGCTCTGAGCCATACAAGGTCTTACGTACTTGGGATCTAAAATGATCCCCACCTTGTGTCTCTGAGAACCACCTTATTTGTACGTTGATCTGCCATGTTTGACGCGCGCAGAGGGACTGCTTAGTTTTTACCAGGTAGCAGGCTTGAAGAGTTTTTAGTCGTACTTCATCACTACCAAATTGAATCACCCTGCTTCCGAACTTTGAATTACCGTAAACATCGTTAGAAAGGGTAATGGTTTTAAATGCCAAAAAATAACCAACCTTTGCGCTACCTCGAAAAATGAAGAAAAATGTCCTTTTTGCTTTTAGTGGGAAAATATCCCTGACTGACGCTGTTCATCCCTGAGATACAGGGTACTACAGAAATCTTCATTGTGGCTGATCAGCCAACCAAAATGTATGCAAAGTACTGGCTAAGCGTGGAACATATTTCTGCCGCATTGTCGACGAATCGTACGTCGTGCGAAGTGTGCAATACTGATATATTCGTGGGTTTATATACTACGTCGGTATACCGTTTCATATTTGACCTTATGTTCCTTTACATTTTAGGCCGCAAAAAGTAGGAATGTTGCTGCCCCAGAATTGACAGGAGTTAGTTCAAAAAGCAGTAAATAAAAATTAACCGCAGATATCTTTGCCAATCTAAACAAGCAACTCGTTTTTACTGACGTCGGCCTCTTTCTGGTCAAAGTTAATTACTGCGTTTTCAAACAGAACATTTTAATTTATCTAATGCAATACTTTTCACTTAAAGTGACCTTTGGCTATGAAAATGTCAGTCTCTCAAGGACGTCCGAAAAGGCGACAGAGGTGGAACTGGTTTGGCAGTTGCCATTCGCGGTAGATGTTTCAGGAGTAAGTAAAAATTGCAAAATTTTCCTTCCGCCTTTCCACACGGTGTACCGGACTTCTCATAATATACTACTGCTACGGACTTGAATATAACATGCATAGTCGTGTTCCAAATTCCCTTCTTTGTTGAAGCCTCTTTTACATCCCTTAAGAGGCTGCTGTGAATTACGCGTCTAACAAAAATTACAGTGGATAAATATATCGAATGTTTTGCACTGGAAATGTAGCGACTATTGACAGTGTGAAGTAAATGAAAGAATTTATGGGAACCGTCTTTGTAAACGTGTCTCGCCAACAAAGTGTTGGATGAGGGAAAAATGTTTTCGGTAGTGAACAGTCAAAACGATGGGTTGATTGACACAAAGAAATGGTAGGTGGACGCGCACTGATCGTTTCTATGGAACTCACTTTTGCCCTCGTGACTTATGTGCATTTTCGATCTCAATCGTCAGCCGCACAGCTGCGCGATGCAGAACGGTATTATGAGGAGAATGAATTGCTCACCGGATCGGGGGACTTTACTGGCTGACGTTTCGAAGAGCTGGGGCTGCTCTCCATTGTCAAAGCGTCAAGTGAAGAAATCGATCAGCATTTTTGAATAGACTGCCGCATTAGTTGGCCCTGGGCCGATCGATTTTTTTCTTCCTTCTCTGCCTCGGCCTACTGGCCGTCGCCTGTGAATGTTTGTGGCCTACTGTAATACGTGTCGTCACCTCAATTGGGGTTGGTTGCGTTTGCTTTCCCCTTTTGGGTGAAGTGGTCGACAGGCCGTGTTTGCTCGGCATTCATAGGCTCCGTGTGATTGTCTTGTCTTCGTCACGGTGTATGAAGTGACGTAGGACTTTATAGGCCGAAGGAAGGTCTAGATGCCTGTTGATGGAGTTGGCATCTGAGTACCAAGCCTCAAGAGTGAGACGCTCAGTCCTTGAGGTGCCCCTGCCTATGACGGCTGCTCCTTGAAAATCAAAACTGTGACCAGTTTCTCCGATGTGAGCCGCAAGCTGTGAGTTTGGGTCTAGTCTCCGTGTTGCCAGTTCGTGCTCATGTAGGCGGGTCTGCAATTTCCGTCCGGTTTCTCCAACGTAGTTGCAGTCTCCATCCTTACAACGTATTTGATAGACAACTGCTGAGGTTTCAGTGGGTGGCAGTATGTCTTTGGGTTGCATCAAACGGCGACGAATTGTTGCCTGGGGTCGATGGGCAATACCTACCCTGGCGGGTTGTAGCAGTCTTGAAACCGCTTCGGAGACTCCTTTAATGTAAGGAATAGCCCTCCAGACTTCGGGTTGTTCTTCTTGTGGCCGTCGTCTGTTCACTCGGCGCTTGCTTTGCTTGATGAAGTGGCTTGGGTATCTATTGGTTTGAAAGAGATCATGAAGATATTGTCGTTCAACTCTTTTGTCGGCTGGTGTGCTGCAGTGTGTTTCAACTCTTTGGAACAGAGTACGGACACAGCTGCGTTTGTGAGAGAGGGGGTGATTGCTGTTGAAGTTCAGTATTTGTCTTGTGTTGGTGGCTTTTCTGAAAACGGTAGTTTGTAATTCTCCAGTTGCACACCGACGCACAAGGACATCGAGGAAGGGGAGTTGGTTGTTTGTTTCGGCTTCCATCGTGAATTGGATATTCTGGTCAACCGAGTTCAGTAATTCTTTAAGGTGCTCCACGTCAGATGATTTGACAATGGCGAAGGTGTCATCGACGTAACGAGCCCAGAACTTTGGTTGATACTTGGTGAACACCAAGTGTTCTATCCGTTGAATAACCACTTCAGCAATCAGCCCTGATATGGGGGAGCCCATAGGGGTGACTTTGATTTGTTCTTACATTTGTCCACCAAAGGTGAAATATGTTTTTAGGCAATAGCGTAAGAGCTCCACAAGATGTTCAGTCTTCAGGGGATTGTCTCTCTCGTTGTAGCGGTCAGCCAGGAGTTGTATCACAACGTCAATCGCTAATTGTTGTGGAATGGAGGTAAAGAGTGAAACGACATCAAACGATACCATGGATTCATCTGGCTCTAGTTTCAGATGTTTTAAACGTTCAAGGAACTGATTAGCAGAGACGACTGTTGTTGGCAATCCTTCTGCCAGGAACTTAAGACGAGCAAACATCCATTTTGCCAAACCGTATGTAGGAGTACCACGTAGGGAGACGATGGGTCTAAGAGGTATGTTAGCTTTGTTTACCTTCGGAAGACCATAAAGCCGCACAGCTGCGCGATGCAAAACGGTATTAGTGACGACGACGAGGGCGACTGCAATGGTGAGTGTCATTGTATATTCCCAACCGGAACCGACAAGACCACGAGCCCGTGCTCAGTGAATAAAACCGTTGGACTTCTAACTAACAGGTCGCGATTTCGAGCCCCAAATGCTCCACACTTTATGGTGGGCTTTGACTATCTGCCAACGGCTAATGAGCCCAAAATGATCCTTCTAGTCTGCCAGTCTGCTATTGGAAACAAATTTATATGCCTGATGTGTTGCGCAGCTAATGTTTGGTTAATATTTCCATCGGAATCGATAAGGCGACCTCAGTGTACCACGCGAAAGGGGAGGAGAATTGCAATCACATAAAGTGGGCAGGCTGGCAATGTTTCACGTAAGAATTTACAAAAAACCCTAACAGACTGTTAGGGTTTATGCAAATGGCCTATGATAAAATATGAGTGACCAAATAAGAACGTGTCTTTTAAGAACTTTCGCAGTGTTGGCGTCCACTCCTGGGAACAATGAAATTTTTCGGGTGGTCAGTTGCAAGTGTACCACCGGCAACGTTGTTCTATGCATAATTTTCAGTGCCATTTTCTCGTGTGTGGCCCATGTTTCTGTGAGAAGGACAAGGAATTATTTTGCAGACGGCAACTGATGGTAAAGTCGTCTCTGATCCTTGTGTCATTGTCTAAATTTCACTTTCTTTGCTACTCAGATAGCCAGAAGATTTGTGGAAATCCAAATCCTTGCGGTGGGTTTTTGTTAAAATATTTGGGCTATTTGAATAATTTGCACCGTTTTTTGTCGTTGAATTACGACATTCATTTGTTAAATCCGCTTCTGCATGATTTAGTTTTGGAAAAGTAACACAACCGCAAGGTTATGAAATATGAACTCAAACAAGGAAATGAAAGAATGTCATTTTATACGTGTGTATATCGGAAGAATGGTCAATTTGACATTGTTTCCTACCGAGATCATTGGGCCGGCAAGTGTAACCCCTAAGTCGTTTGAATGATTAATATGCGAAAAGACTGCATCAAAGCTTTCAGTGGACAGATCGCAAACCAGCCTAGGCATACGGCGCCTGATGCAACTTTATACGCAAAATATGCATTATCCTTGTAGGTTTGGATGACTATCGGGGTAAAAACAACGCGTGGCCGTCCGCTTCCTCTGTGATTGAACTAAAGTGGCTTCTAAATTACAGTTGTTCACCGGATCAACAGGTATGATGTACCAGTTTCTCTTTACAGGTTTTAAGCCTGTGTCGTCGCCGTAGAGAATGCATTGTCGTAAGCTTTGCGCAATTTTTAAGGCATGTCCGTTAGCCGGTTTCGACAAACATATTGCTTGTTGTTTGGCATTGTTTTGAGTAGCATGTATTTGAATTGCTTGCAAGTGGTGGAGGCAAAAATGAGTGTTAAGCCTGGCTTACACCGTTTGTTTTAAAACCAACACCGCTGCTTTAGACTGCAATATTCAATATATTTTATTTTGCCTGCGGGCGTAGCCATTTTCCATCTTCCGGGAAATAATTCGAGTAAACGGCTAGAAAACCAATGGCGTTTGTTGCACTACACTGATCGAGACATTGTTTGACTTTTCGTACGATATGAATCGGTGCTCGGCAAAATTATATTTCATTGGCCGAAACAAATGCTGACCTAATGAAAAAATATCTGGTGAATATGACGGGTGGGGTGGAGATTCCCAGAAAAACAATTTTACAGTTTTTCCCGCTCTTTGTGTTATATGGGACAGATCGTTTTCATGCTGATAAATACCTTTATCATATTCTCCATCATAATCCGGCTGCCAGTTGGCTGAATTTGTTAACTTGCTATCCATATCGTCCAGCAGTAACCATTTAAGATAGCTTCAGCAAATCCGGCTACACCACTTCCTTTTGGTCCCGATATTTGTACAGGATAATTGTACTTCATTAAATACTCTGCTCTAGCATTTGTGTCTATCGTCGACCGGATGTCATTCAGGATAAATTTCCCTAAGGATTATCGCAACAGATTCATTTTTGTCTCCATTCATGAGTAAATGCACGTATACACGTATAAAGTATATACTCTACATGTAATCTTTCCATCGGCCCAGCATATATGTTAATTTAGAGTGTCGGCCTGGTGCTCTAAGTGTCAAGCCACAACGGCCTCCTCATAATGCGGCTTAGATGGTATTCCCAGTCTGTAGGACAGCCGAGTAAATCTGCGCGCCATTACCCTTTTGTTTTATTGGAGCCCAGATTCCGGTCAGTGTGTGCTGTGGGCCAGGGTTATTGCTGCAGGTCTGGATTCAGGATTCCACCATGTCAACTTGGGTTTCATGTACTTTTCCGCTCCATTTTATTGGTGTGTAATACCCTGCTTAGTATGTGTTGTAGACAATGTGTGGTGGTATATCTACGTGCGGGGCCGAACGTGAGAGTCACCTACGCCCTCTTTCACCCTCTAACTACTTCACTATATCTTGGTACCGCGCTGAGGTGGGAAAGTGTAGGGGAGTGCAGTTGGCGTTGTGCAAGTCTACTGGCTTTATAATCTAGGGCATGCGCAAGTTACCGTGCCTGCCCTCAACCTGCTGTGAACCCGCGGTGAATACAGTCGAAACTGACATAAGAACTGTCAACTCGCATGTAGTTTGATGGCATTCCTGTTGTTCTTTAGTCTCTTCATATGACACAGAAAGTCCTTGTTTCTTATACCTCTTTTCGTGCATATAGAAGCTTGTCAAAATTAGCTCCATCAACTAATAATGCTAAGGCGGATTGGACGGATGCGTTCAAATTAGCGTTTCCTTCAATCTTCCCATCTGTCCTGAACGTTTGTCTCTTTCTGTGTTGAAATCATCATTTAAAACTCTTTAATCTCTTTCCTGAATGCTCGTTTGACAACAGCATTTTCACGATAAGCTACCTGAACTGAAGCATGACCGTTAGGCGGCACAATCCTGAAAGCAAAAAGTGCAGGTTCCTCTTAACCTGCGTCTTTTAGGCTAAAGCTTTCTATCTCCTCTACGATTAACTTCTTTATGTTAACACTTTTGTATCATAAATTGAACAGGCCGATACTCCTTGAGTATTTTACATATGTGCTGCCGTTTACAGTGCATGGAAACATCACCAGTCAAACTAGTCAAAATAAAATAATAGGTAAATAAACGGAATTGAGGTGGCTTACATATTTGTGACAGGCTTGCCATTTCTAAAAATAATCGGGACGCTATGAAATTCTAGTAATCAGTAATGCGGCAGGTTCTTCATCCATTTCAAAGGCAATGCCTCCATAAAAACATTATCGCCGCCTCGATCAATTGGCTTGAGTGTAGAGAAACCCCATCACGCGCTTTGGGTGAAGTGTTCCTTTCAGGGCTTGGAGGTTCCGATTTAGAGTGCTCAACAAGCATATGCAGAATTAAAGGCACAACACGGTCTGCTGTGTGGAGACTAGGTCGTCTGTGACAGCACGGACAGGTTGTTTATTATTCCCAACCATAGCAGCCGGATCGCGCATTTTCTTGTCGTCCTCAGAGGAAGGAGAGCGTAGCGCAGATGCTGCGCAAGTCTGTCGGTACAATAATCTGGTTGGTACACTCGGTAGTCAACATTCTGTACTTACCGCATGACGATCGATCTTTCAGTTGCAAATGATTATCGGACAGGAATCCAGTGTGATCCCGTCTATAAACGACGTTCAACGTACATCAGTTCTGCAATTTTTATAGTCGAGCGACGCTGAACTTTCTGTTGAAATTAAGTGAGTTCAGATATGTGTTAGATGGCATTACAACGAAGTATCAACAAACTCTTGCCAATCTTTAACGCAGGTGAACCGCAGGTGAATCCATTTTGCGGTATAAAACTGCTCTCTACTCAGTGGGTTGTCACCGTGAACTAAATACCTCACTGGCGGTCGAGCAGCTCGGATGAGCAAATACGAACATAACCTCTAGTCAAACAGGTTGAAGTCTTACACGAGGGACTACTTATAGGCAAACCCTGACCGCATTTGATTATTTCAATACACCCTGAAGTGAACAAGGAAAGGTAAACACATCCTTGCTTTAAAACTACACCGGCGCAAGGCTTGCTGAGCTGTAGGAGGCCTCATGTATCATCATCGTTGCGATTAGTATCCTGGCATTGTAGTTTGCAAAATTCTTCTTCGAGACCAATATTTTGTTCTTGACACCAGAATAAACCTGTTTATTTAAGGTTATGATGCAGGCAGAAAAAATGCCCTTTTGTATTTTAAGCAAATATCCGGAGAAAGAATATTTTGATTAACATCAAAAAGCTTGCCACAGACCAGTCTTTTGAAAAATACTCAACTAAGATAATTGCATTGTATAGCTAAAAATTTCATAGAAGATTTCAAATGTTGGTTTACTTGCAGCACCTTGAATGCCTTCTCAATGGAAAGCCCCTGTGCTCTGGAATAACGACCAGATCTCAGTGGGGAATGTGTCGTAAGTGTCATTATTCAAAATTTAAATGAATAGTCTAGTTCATCATTAGTTTACGAAACGCAAGTCAAGATTACGTCAGCGACCGTGTGATCTGCCTACCGTAC